AATGGCATCTTGAGATTCAGGGATCAGATCTAAAGCATGTGGTGGTGAGGGCTCTCGGGTTCAAAGCTTATGTCTATGAGTTCGGCGTCGTCGTCGCTGTTATGACACTCGTGTCCGCCGTTCGGGTCATCGGAAACGTGGTGTCCGTTGGAGTGGGCGAAGGCCAGTACGATATCACCTGCCGTTCCGTTGCCACCATTGCTGTACTTATACTGTCGGGTGCGGTGCATAGTCAGGAAGTTGTCGGTCACCCAAAACATCAATACGTTCACGAAGAAGGGTATCACAAGTATAACCATAAATATCTCCATTTCCTGGTTCAGGAAGCGATCGATGGGCCACAGGAGGAGTGCCCGCACGTGAACCCAGAACTGGAACTGAAGTAATAGTGTGATCACAGACTTGACCACTAATACGATTACGATGTACGCGAAGCACTGGATGAGCCAATACCGGAGCGATGGCTCTGGTTTGCCGTATTCGCCGAATACAAGACATTCGTAGCGGTACTTAATAGCCAGGTATTCAGTCAATCGGATCAATAGCCACAGCAATAAGAGTCCAATGGATGAGTCCAATAGAAAACTGATTATATATCTGTTGGTAAAAGTGGTAAACGATTAGAAATTCTTGTGATATGTTAGAGGAAGGAATCAATGGTAAAGAAGTACAGACAGAGTGCAGGGGTCGCGACCATCGACCAGTTCAGCCGTCATTATGTTGGAGAAGTGGACGACAACGGCGCCGAAGCCCTGTTTGGATGTGTCGAAGAACCATATAATCCATGGCCTCCGATATCGTTGCGGTTCACAGAAGCGTTTCACTGCACACATCGAGACATTCAAGCATTTCTTAAGATGTCTTAAGGAGTCGATTATCTACTGACCGATAAGACAGGCGAATGCGATGGCGGCCAACAGGAACTGTATGGACCAGCCGTACCACGACGTCAGTGAGCCGTGTGTGCAGTGATCGACCACTGGGTGTCCATTGGCCGAAGACATGTAGACATGCGATGGTTGGATGCGGTCGACCACTGATGGACTAGTGATGGTTGGTGTGAATGATTGCGAGTGAATGAAGGGTGGAAATTAATTTTCAAGAGTTTATCGCTTTTGGTATCTCATCAGTCAGTCATTGGTCTCATGAGTGGTGATGGTATGTATGATGTGGTCAAACAGCACCACATTTGCGGAATTAATTTGTACTTAAGATATGACTGAAATGACGTGAAATTCAGATTAGACTCATCCGATGGACACAAACAGACAAATAACTAACTCTTTGGCCCTAATTTCGCAAATGAATCACTCAATGGATTACATATTCATCTAATGATTGCTTTCTATTAGTAAATGTGAGTTAAAACCTAAATATTTATTCACAAAACTATTACTCTATTTGTATTTAGGAGTCTATTCTAAATGCAATGCTAACCACATAGCAGTCACAAAAGTGCATAGAGTAACCTGGTTTACCTCCACCAGTATATTAGGCTAACCTTCCAGCGCTTGATTATTATTGTCTGCAATGTATGTCCAATACGCATGACTTCCCACTCGGAGCCACTGCATTATCATTGAGTTTACCACCGATTGCGTAACTCTATTACCATTATTTGACTGAAAATTGTCAATTTCAAATCACTTGGTTTTGTGTACTGTATTGCAATCATTTCTGTAGAAAAGAGTTCACTGTTTTTTGTCGATACAAATTTCAATTTCAAATTTTCTTTCAGACTTAAGTATAGACTCCGAGAATAACTTACTTTGTATTTCATAGCAAGTGATGTGTGAACTAAAAGTAATTTTACACAAAACTTATTACTTTTCTATAACATTGACACTACTTTTGTCATAATTAGTTATCAATATCTCTCTCTCTCTCTCTCTCTCTCTCTCCCTCCCTCCCGTAGAAAGATTTTCAATTGTCAATTTGCTATGAATAGCGTTTAGAACATAGCATTAACATAATTGCCAATAAAACAAACAAACTTATTCTCTCAACAAAACTATCCCTGAATACAATCTACAGATCTACAGGTAACTAAAATATTTGTAATACCGGTATTTGAGTAGACTAAAATAGTGATAAAGAAGTTTTATTTCCAGTAATATGATTAATAATTACGGTATTAATATACAAATGATCTCAAAAGAGAATTGATTTCATGGAAAAATGTATTGCATATATTTTGTAGAATACATTTCAATTTATAGCTCCACTTTTCTCTATAAATCCAGTGTTTATTTGCACTTTATTTCCGGGAAGTTTTATATCAACAATGTTTTAAACAAGTGATCAATTATTCCCAAAACTAACTACTGTACTGTATTTGTTGAACAGTTTTTGTGTGTAAAAACATTATAAAGTATTATAAACTTTGCGATGAAATATAATTCAATTGACT